CAACATAGGTGTTACAGAAATGTTTCTTTTGATCCAAACAGTTGGAAATGTTTTTGACTTGACTCTGGAGGCTACCTTCTAATTTGCCTGCATGGGGATTCCTGCCTACTGAGTCAATGCTGTTTTCACGCTCGATAGTGAAAGACTTAAGTGTTCAATTATTTAATTTACTGAGAGGGAGGTTAAAAGATAACATAAAGGATCACCACATAAAGCTACAAGAGGAGAGGGATTTTGCAGACCACTTGGATCTTAGAATCTAGTAGAAACTTATGGTATCTGGAAAAGGAAAACCAACAACTTCATACTTAGGAAAAAGAGAAATTAACTTCTAAAACGGCAAAATAATTATACTCTGAAGAATGTGACAAATTCACCACTTTTGGAAATTTTAATTCATTTAATTACATTTATAAAAGTAATGTGACGGATCAAAACAAAATTCAAAATCAAAATTTAGTCTGAAGCAGAAAGGTAGAGATCTTAGAAGGCTCAGATAAGGCATTTAAAGTTGTCCTTTCTGGCTTCAAGTCTAGAAATGGCAGTTGTGCTTCTTCTAGCTACTGCATGAGAAAGTGCAAGCTACATGGTTGAGATGAAGAGAAACTTCCTAGCATGACAAGACTACATGGATGTTACTGTACTGCAAAACCATTTCCTCAATACGCTTGCAGGCCTTCCATTTTTAAGCTACATTCAAGACAGATATTCCTATGAGCCAATTGCTAGCTTGCTTATTGGTCTCCTCCCAGCCACAGCAATAGAGCTGAACTCATCTACACAGCCTGAACTCATTTTTTGTCCTGGTAATTAGTTTGTGACATTCTTAGTGTAGTTCCACCCCTTTTCTTGACAAAATGTATGTTTTTCAGTGACAGGAGGATTCCAGAGAAAGTCAGGAATACTAGATTTCTTTTGGAATCAACATTTCTTACCAGAAAGATGGATGAACTTTCTATTTACACTCGTGCCAGCAGTGTCCCATCTCAGCATCTGACAGTCTCTGCTTTTGGTTACAGCAGCTTTTCCATCACCACAGCAAAGAGTAAGTATGGAGACACAAGATTCTTCTGAACAAGGCTGCCATTGGCAAGCCTGTGATTTACATTAAGACAGACTTTCATACAAGCAAGTTCAAAAATAAAACTATGAACAAATAGAGCAATCTCAGCTTAGTATCCATTCCATGCTTCTATCAGGAAAATATTCTGGATTACACCACGAAAACTGTCGTTAAAAATAGCTTAAGAAATACTAATGTTTTTCTGGCTTCCACACTCCTGTCATGCTCCTCTTCCCCAAAGAGGAGGCTAAGGGGTATAAGAATCAAGCCATTCTCCTCCTAAGCAGGGGGGATTTAACATTGCTTAATAAAACCATTCAGCACTACTTAGCCTTAGCCCCAGGGCAATACGCAAGCACCGAGTGCAAAGAACTGTATCTCTCTTGCAAAGCCTTCCATTCTGTCTTTCTCATTTTGCTTCTTTTCTACAGATGGAACAGCACAATGCAGTGTGAGCTGAAGACCTGCCACTCTCCTGCCACAGCCATTTATCATCCAATTCAGATGTTTGGCTCTGTAGACATTTCCAAACAAAGTGTACAGACTGGCACTATTTTAGCTTGAAGCTTAACTAGGTAACTCATCTGGCCGCTCACTAAACCTGTCACATACAAAGCCTTCCTCCAAAGGCTGCTGCCTCCTGTTTTCAGCTGTTAATTAAAAACGTAACCTTACACAGGAACAGATCCTGCATTCAAAGGCGAAAAGGGTGTCACTGAGCTCAGTGAGACTGGAGCACTGGATCTGCTGCAGCATATACTGAGAAGGCAAGCACACGCAACACAGCACAATTCCTCAAATATGGTTAATACAGCATCTGAATTTGGCCCATAATATCTAGTCTCAAATTAACAGCTTCAGAGAAAGCCAGAGAAATACAAAAGGGCAAAGCAGCAATGCTGTTTAACGCTGAGATTTTACAACCCAGCGCAAAGATGTGCAGATGCTGCTGACAATCTTCCCCTTCGTGTGCCTTTGCGCTGAACGGGGTGGTGCCTTCAGGCACCGCATGTTCATAAAGCTATTTGGCAGATGATCTTTCCTGCCTGCTCAGTGGGGAGGAAAACCAAAGCTCTCTTCCTTGATTTGTCTGTCCATACACACGCTGGCGTGGCTTCTGCTGGCTTCAGGTAAGCAGAACAGTTTCACTGAGCAGGTCCCACTTCCTCCTGACACTGCACAGATTCCCTCCTCACTCTCCTCCAGGGAAATCAGAAGCAGCCTCAGCACTTTCCTCTCCTTCCTGGTGTTGTGCCATGCCAGAGAGGCAGGCAAAGGTCAGAGCCTCCCAGACTCAATGCTGTATTGCAATAAGAAACTGTTTCCCAGCATCTACAGCCCTAATCTGATCCTCCTTAAATCTCTCTTATTAAGCTGGACTTAAGTGGATAAATTCATAGACAATTATATGCCATATATAGCTCAGTGGTTTGACCAAGATGAGGACAGGACAAGACAAGGAGGACATGAAAATCACGAACTACGAGAATGCTGGGGAGAAGAATGGTTTTCTTTGAGGAAAGACTACCTCAGTAGCCCCACCTATTTCTTTCTTTTTCCATCTCCTTCTCTGTCTTCTGATGCTGTACATTACAGTAGAGTTCAAGATGCTCCACTGAGAATAGATTGGCAAATAGGTGGCTTTTACCTGGATTTCTCTACACTCCTGGGCATTCAGCCATGAGAAAAAAAGAAATCACTCATTTCCATTAGTGGCTGGCAATGAGACTGCATCCACTTCTTCTGGATGTAGATTTCACTGTAGTGATCCAGTCATTTGTGACTGTCAGGGCCTAATTACTGCAGTAACGTGAAACTGCAAAACTTACAAAATGTAAGCATAAAACACAAGAGCCAATTGCTCAACTGCAGGCATACCCAAAGCCAGTCTATCCCAAAGCTCTGCTTCTGTCCAGATGGAAATGCTCTTGCATACATAAAAGTGACAAGGCCTACATGTGACAGTGCGAGCCTTCAGGTTGGGCACTGCACATAACCCATCTAATGTACACTCCATCTCACTGCAGCATAATCTTCTTAGGCACTGAGAAACAACACTCTTCTCACACTGATCTCCAAAAGCTTATTGAATGTCTGGATGACTTCCTAAATGGTGAGTCCCAGCCAGCTAAATGCTCAAACCTTTCAGAAGAGCTGTGAAGAGCTAAGAGAGTCATGTTTCCTTTGAGTTGAAGTTTCAGGAAGAATACTGAGATTTATGATTAGACAGATTTACCTTGAAAATACGCAGGGTGCCTCAGTGAACCATACACCCAGGGGACACACTGAGGATGCCAAAGGACTGGAACAGATGGAATACACAGAACACTTTGCTGCTACATCAAGTAAGTGTGTGCCTGCATCCGCAGTACTCTGCTCACTACTGGGTATTCTAGCTCAAAAAGGAATATAGGTGATACAAAGAGAGTTCAGGGTGATGAAATTACTTCACTGGGAAATTTCCATTTTTAAAGACTGCAAAAATTAAACTGATTCATTGGAATGAAAGATGAATAAAAGGAGATATGATATGGGAACTTGAAAAATGGCTGTAGAGAGTTACACTGGGCAGCAATTGCTACTTCATTCTTGTAATTCAAAAGGAAGTAACCAACATGTTTAAAGTAGATTAAAAAAAAAAAAAAAAAAAAGACTACATTGAAGTACAGAGAACCAACCTGCAAAAATCCCTGCTACAAAATGCCAGGAATGTGAGTTTTGAAGGACCATGAAAGAAGGTATTTCTTTAACCAACACAGTAAGACACAGCTATAAAAGTGCATGAAAAGCCAATAAGTGCAAAGGAACAAGTTCCAAAACAAAGGCTGAAAAATACTGTTGTTTCAAGGCAGTAACTAGACTACAGACACACTTTTGGTTTAGAAATCACACATTAAAAATGCCTACAAACATCTAATAATTTTTCTGTGTGTGTGTGAAAAAGCCTCTATGCATGGGTTTTCAAAAGTAAGATATTCTTTTTATTTTCATGTTGAATAGAACACAGCATTACATATTTGTCAGTCACCCTTTGCTGTAACTCCTATGAATGCAAACAGACCAGTGGAGAAAAAAAGAAGAAAAAGAGGCTACTCATTGATTTCCTAAATGTCAGCACAACTTCACAACTAAGAATCTCTGCATGCTTATTTTTGCTTTGTTTGTATAAATTACCTGATTAGGAGGTCCAAGAATTGGACTGTGCAATCTCATAAAGGTTTTTCTCAGCCCCCTGGTTCTGCAGGGAGAATTTTTTCTATTTTTCTAGCTTTCTTCCCACCTTCCCTTCTGGTGTTCTATCACTCTTCTTTCTAGCTTGCTACACCTTACGCTGTTCAGAAGTCCCATAGAAACGGGACTGAAATCTGTGAAATGCTTTCTTTTTGTTATATCCCACTGGTTTCAGACTAGAATTACTTTTGACTGAGTTGGATAAGAATTAAAAATTGAAAAAGTCTTCAGAGGATTGGTTCTTATTTCCACAGGGTTCAGTTAGGCACAGAGAAGTTCTACTGGAATAAGACTTCTACTCAGTGGGACTTTGCAGCAACATGGGACTTCAGTAGCTGTGGTTGCCACAGTGGAGACTTTCCACAGCAGTACTCCATCATTGCCAGATGGATTTCATCACTATAAACTCTGTTAGTTATGCTCTGCTGTGACCTGTTGTAACCACTGCAGAGCCAGCTTCCTCAATGTCACGTTCTCTACAAGCGGATCACGGCTCTTGCTGACATGTTCAGTGAGAGACTTTCTCTTTTAAAACTATAAGTTCAAATTATTAGGACAGTTATAAAGACAGCAATACATCAGCAGAAAAGGTGACAAGATGAAATTGCAATATGTCTCACACAAGAGCCAGGGATTAGGCTGATTTCCCTACACACTGGAGGGAGGGTGAATCAAAGAGTGCGTGGTACAAAGCTTAGCACTGTACCTGGGTAAAGATGCATACTGCCTTTCCATCCCTTCGAAGTGGAGATTGTATGAGCTCCCATCTGGACCTTTTCCAGGAACCTGTGGAGAGGAGAGTAATTAGAGATGAAGATCAATTATGCACCCCAGCTACTAACAATGCATTTCAAAACAATAAGCAGAGAACGTATGATGCTACAATATGCCAAAATCAACAGAGGAAAGGTAGGGGCTCAAAGAAGCTCCAAATCCCATACGTAATCTTATCACTGCTAACAAGAAAGGCTTCTGTATCAAAGAGCTGATTAGAACAGGTACAGTCTTCAAGACTTCTCCTTGTTTGCATGCTAGCTGGGATACTGTCTTCCCTTCCCTGACTGGCTTTCTTCCTAGAATTCAATAACATGAGGAGCTAATCTAAGTAAGCATACTGCTTCTGATTCCTGCAGTGTAACTCCTTGAATCAAAGCAAGCATCTTAGTACCAAGTTTGCTGTTTTCTTCCACTGCGTGTGCTTTTCTCAAGTATAAAACACGATATAAACAGGCACTGCTTTCAATCTTAACACAAATCCAGAAACTTCCCTTAACACTACTGCAAATCTAAGTATCCATTGGGACTTATGTGCATCTGGTGTGCTCTGGTGCTGTTTCAGAAGTGAAGCATTAGCGCACTCAGTTAAAATGCCAGCCCACTGCTTGGTTTGTTTTGAAGATGGCAACTGGAGTTGGCTAGAGAGCACAATTCTTAGCTGGAAGTCTCCAACTGGAGTACAAAATGGTGAACTTCAATGCTTTTAGCACACAGGAGCTCTCCCAATTTCACTCACTCAATGCCTGCTGATGGCCCAAAGTGTTAAGAGCCTTGTTAAAATGGAGCTATTAGTCTTTTTCTCCATAAATGCAGGAGGCTCTGACTGCATTCAGTGTTTCCTACATTAGTATGTGTTCCTATTCCGGTGCTGCTAGAATCAGCAGTTTTATAAAGCAATATACTAAGAGGCCATTTAAAATCCCCTTCCCCTTTTACAGATTAATGGCAGAAAGGAAGATTTAATGCCTTTTCAAACATTTTTAACAATTCATTAAAAATAAAAGAATAAATCACACAAAGCTTTCTGCAAATGCCTGATTATAGAAAAACAAACAAAATTTAACACGTGCTGCACATTCCACAGGTTAGAGCACATTTTTCTTAGCCTTGTAATTTACGCACAATAAGTCATTTTCACAGTGGAATTTAAAAGCTATAATGAGACAGGTAGTGCACTCAGGTGTAGTAGGTCTTATCTACTTTCACACAGTAATTTTGTGTACAATCTCTCCACTGCATACCCATTACATAAGTCCAATGCAAATAAAGGCATCATCCCTTCCAGCTCCTAGCAAAGCACAGGAATTATGCTCGACAAATACCATCATGCACCTTACCACTCACTAAGCATCCAAGACACTCATAAGAGGAAAGATTATTCAGCACAGGCTTCTTGCTATCTCCCCTTTATCCAAATCAAAACAGGAAGGAATCCTTGTGGAACTGATGGCCACGGGAAATAACCACCTCTGATTTGAAATGATCCCTGCGTTAGAGGTGCCTGACTTCGGGTGAGTGAAAAATAACAGTAATTGCTCTACATTTCAAAAGGAGGGTAGCAGGGTAAATTGATCATTCATTCATTTTTTCCACCAGTAGAAGTGACACGTAGAGAGAATGGACACACGCACTTGGGCTGAGTCACGGCCGCTTTGGCTGCTCTCACGCTGCTAATTTGATCAGGTTGATAATTTCCCTTAATTCACCAGGTACAGCGGTTAGAGAGGAACCTCCTAATTTCTGCTTTTTATGAAGAATGAGGAGGGAAAAAATGTATAATTTAGTTTGCTTGGCACAACAGCCATGTAGGATACAGCCTACCTGCACGGCAGCAGTGAGGTTATTAATTATGTGCAGCAGCCAGATGTTTATGAGCAGAGTGATGTGCCGGGTAACTCACCCTGCACCCACAGCCCTGTGCAAGCTTCACAGTGATTACTTTCACACCTACCATGAGCAGTAGCAGCCAACATGCAGGAACAGATTTAGAATTGTTCAGCAGCGATCCCAAAACTTACACCATTCACAAGAAAGTAAAAAATATTTACATTGCAAGGCCTTTTTACAGCCTGAAAACGCCCCTCTTCTGATGGGTTTCCTGCAGACCAGCCAGAAGGAAGTCCCCCCACTGGCTCTGTTTGTATATATGATTTGGGAGCCAGTTACCATAGAAACCCCCGGCAGTGGATGCAGGGCTTTTGGTTCCATCAAGCTGCTCAGTCTCCCCATCCTATATAAAACCCCAACGCTCTGGAAAGGCAAGCTCTGGCTCTCTGTCGCTAATTAAAGACTCAGTCATTTCTTCTTTCCTTCCCCCATCTGTCCATGCAGCAGTAAAAACATAGCATCGTTCAGCTGAGAGCAAAACAGTGCCTAAAATAAAATACTACCCCGACAAGAGAGAAGTTGTGAAAATAGAAGCACCTTCCTCATCCAAGTTATTTATGCTTTAGATTGAGTTCAAGCAATGGTTTTCCTTGCTCTCTCCACAACTTATTAAGCTAAAAATTGGCATTAAAGATACTAATTAGCAAGATCAAAATATTCCAAGCTTGTCCTCCCTCCCACCAGACAGGAAGCACACAGCTGGCCTTGGACAGGGGCGTAGGTTTGAAGCACATCTTTAGTGATTTTAAAGTGATTAGGGAAGAAAACAACAATTGTAGTAGAAGAGCTAAAGCCTGGCAGTCCCACTCAGGCCAAAGGGATGCTGAGCATGCAGTGGCCAGTGCGGTGCTGGAGCTGGCAGAAGGGATATTGCTCAGCTCTTGCCATCAGCACCCACCAGTACTGGGAGAGCATAGCAATGGTGTTTCACAAACATTCAGTAATGCACGATAGAAAGAATGATTGGAAACACACATCTGTATTTTTAAATTAACTACATCAACTTTTAAAAAAAAAAAGCCGTCATTACGAAGAAATCATCTCTTAGCGCAGAGCGGCCTCAAATAACTAACAAGCAAAACATGAATATGCAAAAATAACGGGGGAGAGATAAACACAGAAACAGCCATCATCCCATCAGCGCAATTAAAAGAGCAGCAGCATGCCTAAATTGAGGAAAGGAAAAGCTATCTGTATTAAAAAACAACAACAAACAATTCACAAAACTCAATCCACAGGCAGCAGCAGGGGACTGGCAGGGAGAGGAGCAGGGGAGCAGGCTGGGGGCTCCTTCATCTCCGGGACAAATGCAATCTACACTTGTTGCAAGACAGGAATCTGTAGGTTCTTAATTTCCCATTCCTACTCAAAAGAACAAGGAACTGTAGAGAAAATGAGAAAACAAAACGAAGTTGTACAGGTGTCAGTGAAGCTGTTCCTTTGTTAGACACAGTAACTGCAGGGTGCTTCAGATGAGTCTTGTAAGGCACAGAAATGATAAGCAAACAGCAAGCAACCTGCTAATTCTCCCTAGGTTAAGTTCCCAGAAAAAAAAAAAAAAAAGAAAAAAAAAAGAAAAAAAAGTGGACATGCACACGTAGATCAAACCAGAGAAGAAATGTCTTAGGTCATTCAAACATTTGTGCGTACGCTGTATGGCACAAGTAGAGTACCCCTGTAGGGAGGTATCTTGAAATAAACCAAGGATTTGCCTACAGGAAAGTGCTGGGGCTGCAGAAGAGAAACATAAGCAGAAAAAGATGTGCTTCATTCTAAAGCTTGAGGCTACCTTGAATATTATGCAGAAAAAAGTGAGAGGCCATGTTTTTGCCTGGGAGATGCTGCATTTTGTTTCTTCTCACCTGCTTCACATTGGCTTCCACCTGGAGTATATATTCCAGGCTAAAAGCAGCAGTGGACAGGGCAGCCTCCTGTGCCCCTTCTGTATGGAGCAAGGCATCCAGGGTTGGACAACCGTTGTGGTATGAACGACAGTGAGCATGTGCATGGTGGTTCTCCATAAAAAATGGCATGATACCACTGTTGTGTTTTACATGACTGACAAGCACTACAAGACATGATCCAGCCCAGGAAGCCTGCAGAGTGAGGCATGTGCTCCGCCATCACCAAGTGCTTTGAAAATCCCACCCAGTTCTGCCTTTTGCCTGCAACTCTGTGTATAAACATGGCACACAGTGCTGCCGGATTGCTTAGCACATTTTTCAATAGCCTTGTGATCATCTGTTAAAGGACTTGATTCAGATGCTGGCTTGACCTCTGTTCTCAAAGCTCTTCTTTTGTCTGTGAGCGTTTCTAATCACATGGGTTGAGATTCAGCATGCCAAAAAGAGCCATGGTATAACGGAATGTGCCCTTTAACCTCCAGGTCTCCCCTCTGCTGAGACACAGTTGGTTTTTGTTTTCAATTAAGTGAAAACTGAAGAAAAACTCAGAGAGGTAAAAGCAGATTTGTTCTCCACCCCAGCCCCAATGTTTCGCACACAGGTGAAGAATCAAAATCCATCCATTTTATTTTTTGCATTTCAACAATCTGCCTGGCTGTAGTGACTGCCAGTGGATTTAGGACAATCTGACACACTCTGCTAAAACAGAGGTGAGTTATGTACGACAGTAAACTGCATATTCCATGTGAAATGGATGAAGTTGATCCAAGGGGTCTTCTTAATTGCTTGCTGCTATGATATCCTAATTATCCCACCCTTCAAGACCTCCAGCATTTCCACAGAAAACATGTTTTCTTCCATCCAGACTTTTTATGTTTTGCATCAAAAGGTAAAAATTAAAAATTCTAGCAGTGTTCACAATTCAAAAGATTTTTCCCGATGTTTTCCTTACATACACAAAGAGGGATGTATTTTGCTTTCCTGGTTTTGCAATGAAAGTTGAAACAGTGATTTTACGTTATTATAACACTCATCATTTCTCCCTCTAATTTGGATGGTTTTTAATAAAGCTCCATTGATTCCACTGAAAGAAATCCCTCCTGGCAAAAGCAGAACACACACGCTGATTGCTAAATATGCAGCAATTATCATATTCAGCAGCACACTTTAATATCTTATTTATAGATGTATCTATCTATAATTTGCTTTAATTAAGTT